CTCTACGAAATCATCCTGTCCTTCCGTCGTTATCGGTATCGCGCGCTTTCATTTTTCAAACACTTCCTCCCTCTCTCTCTCTCTATCTCTCTCTTTCTCTATCTCTCTGAAAGAGAACTCTCGTATTTATTCGCGAGTCATAAAGTTGTAAATAATTATTAAGATTGGAAAAAAAGAAAGAGAAGGAAAATTATCAAGATCGTTCGTCCTAAAAGAATGTAAAGTAAGATATATCCGAAAAGAATTGGAAAATCGAGGATATTATATTTTTCAGATCTTGCCTTCGAGAATTGCTCGTTTTATCGCTACAATATGATTACACCAAAATTATTATGCGCGATTAACCAATATCTTCCAACATCTTTTACTTGTATCGCTTCGTTAAGCTCGATCGTCCATTAACACATAACTTAATAAAAAGAATCCTTTCTTCCAACTTGACTTGACGTCTAGTTGAAGAGATATATTTTTTCCACGACTCTTCAAAAAGAAAAAAAAAAAGAAAAAGAAAATCGGGGGATCCAACGCTGACTTATTGGAGCGCCAATGTCTCCAGATAGGAACAAGCGTTTTATAGGAGTGTGTTTCGTGGCAGCCGCCTGTTGCATGCTGGCGTACACTGACGTCATTTCCACCACCGGCCGCTGCACGCCCGTAGTGGGGTTGAAACTGACTGAGTCAGGGGCGTTGATGGTGGTGGGGGGAGGGGAGGGGGGCGAAAAGGGGAATGTAACGCTCCGGAGGGCGTGCTTGACAAAGGCGTGGTTACCGTGTCCCCACCCAACAATAAACAACCAACTCTGACGTTAATTTGTTTGTTTTATCCCTCTCTGCCCGCTCTTTCCCTCCCCTCTCCCTTCCTTCTCGCGCTCTCTGCGCGCCGTGGCGCCCTGCCTTGTGCCTTTCACCTGTCCTCCTCCTCCTCCTCCTCCTCCTCTTCCCACAGCGCTAAGCACCGCGCGCTGAGTAAAAATTTATCAAAACGCTCGTGAAATTGTGTTAACTCGACAGAGTTGCTGGAGACAGAGTTGCAGTTGGAGGAGGAGAAGTTGTAATCGGTTGTAATTGGAACGTTTTGAATGGAGGAAGCAGGTCATCGGGGGAGGGGTTGGGAGGGGATCGATGGATTTTGAGGATTTTGGATTGGGCCAAGTGGTAAGGAGAATCGAGTATTTTAATTTTTAGCTTAATTGTGCTGGTACTTGGAATTTCGTTAAGGGGATGGATCAAAAGATGGATCGCTTTTTGAATTAATTGGTAACCGAGTGGAAAGTTTTTTAAGCGAGTTAATAAAATTCATCGTACGCTCCTTTCATATATTCTAGTAGGAAAGAAATACACGGATTGATTTTCAGACTCGTGAAATTTTATTTTATTTACTTCAAGTACTTGCCAAAAAGTTGTTGAAGAATTATTAATCCATCCATCGTTAAGAATTTTCTTTTTCTTGCGTGGATACTTTTGGAATCTTTTGGAAACTCAAGAAACTCGGTTAACATAGTTCAAGTTATGGAAGTTTTCAAATACTCTGGATATATCGTAAATTTGAAATTCTCTCGAAGAGTCATTTTTTCGGAAAATGGACACTTGACGTCGAGAGGGAAAGTTACTTTTGAACAGTCACTTTTCACTTACTACAAAAATGTATTCTCCAAATGTTTTCCCCTCTTCTATACGTACTCGAAAAAAGAGAGAGAGAGAGAGAGAGAAATTAAAAGGTTTAATATTTATTGTTGAATACGTTGAAAAGAGATTTGTTGAAGAAAAAAACACTTACATAATCTCTTATCGACTTTTCGATACTATACAATATCAAACATACAATATCAAGCATAGAAAATATTTTTGTCAATTTACAATTCATCAATGCGTAATTAACCTCGTTATCGAGATACGCACCTATACATATATTTGCACTCGATCACATTTCCAAATATTTTACCGAATAATAATTCTATTCGTCGCGCATGGATAATCATTACATATACAAAATATTCGGGTCGTTCTTCATTTAAAATCTAAATCTTGCGTAAAACTCGAAACTCTTCTCTCTTATCTCGTGCTAAAAAGAAAGAAAGAAAAAGAGGAAAAAAGCAAGAGGAAAAGGAAGGAAGGTGTGACTAATCCGCGTCCAACGTCGAAATATTATCCTACGGTGATGCAGATCCACCCTAGATATGAAATTCGTTAGAATCGATCTTAGCCGAGCGGCGGAGGGATGCTCGGAAACGGGGAACGACTTGACCTTGGCTGGATTCACGCGTAGCTGAGCTAACGCAAAATCGAAACGCGTTACTTCCACAGCGTGGATCTCCTAAAGCTGGCTTCACATCGTGACTTGCAGCCTCCTTACAGCCTCCGCCGGCCTACGCGAATATCGAAGGCAAGCCTCTTAAAAACTTAAAACTCGCACCCGATATTTCCTCACATTTTCTGCTGCTTTCCGATTTTTTTTTTTTTTTTCGTTCCTTCCAAATTTTTTTCGGCTATAAATCGTCTGCGAGGTTTTGGATTTGTACTCGTCGAAATGAGGACGGAACGATTTCGATCGAGTATATATTTTTTATTGCAAGACAAAGGATAGGAAAATAAGGAGAATAATTTTGGAATGGATTGAAAACAATTTTTTTATCGCTCGAGTGTACGATGTTATACAATTTTATCGTGTGATATTGACTATTAGGAAAATATTTCAGAGATAAAAGTCACCTAGTTACACAGGTGTATTATTAAGGAAAGAATCCGAAGTCAAAAAGTTGAACGGTTCTTATCTAAATTAAAAACCTTGCTTCGAACTCGATACGAGTTTACGATCGATATTTAAAATTGGATAATCGCAAAAGATATATTTTTACATCTTAGAAATTATTTCTGTTTCTATTAAAAGTTATATTACCAAGAAAAAAAATTACTCGCTTGAAGAGGAAAAAGAGAAGAGAAAAAAAAAAGCCTCATCGATCTCGTCCTTCACGAGTCACTTGATTTTATTTGATCTAATTTGCGCGCAAGCGACGGAACAGTTGGTCATTGCTCCACTAATGATTCTGTTAAAATACACACGACGTAACGTAAAAGCTGCTTCTATCCCATTAAAAAAATAAAAATATTTTCTTATCAAAAACTCTATTAAATTGTAACAATCTTAATAAATTATCATTTGTCAATTTGTAAATACAAAATAAACGAATTTCGTAAATTTCATTATAGATGTTTCTTCCAATTTTTTCTTCTCTTTTCTCTTTTCAATTACGTTTTCATTTTCATCGAATGCAAGATTAAATTGCTTACAAATCCTTAATAAATAAGTTTACCCTCAAATACAACCGGGGACAGTTTGTGTGGAAAACAGAGACGAGAAGAATCTTCGAGGCTTGCGTATTCGAGACGTCGAACAGAAGAAGAAGAATCCATTTCTAACGCTTTATACGCGAGGTGTTTCGTGTGAAACGAGCTTGTTTCTTAGCAAAAGGGAGGATCTAAACGCGCGCGCCACTGACAGGGGTTGATGCAGTTATTCCTTTCCCCACCGGGCCACCCCTCGTCGCGAAGCGGCTCGCGGGGTAGGCTGTGTGGGAGCTTGTGACAGAAGAAGAGAGGGTGACTCACCCCCTGCGTGCGCTGCGTACTTTCAAGTGCATAGCACCCACAACCGAGCCACGCGTGACTAGACACCGTTTTCAAGCAAAGGGGGCCACTGGAAATTAGATTTTAATACGTTCACGGTGCCTTCCTTTGCGGAACTCCAAGGTGAGATAATGAGACTGGTGTAAACGTGGTGCTCGTGACGACGAATTTGAGACATTTGAGGGGAGATCGGGTTTCAAGATTATTATATTTATGTAACGAACGACGATAGAATAAATCAACCAAGAATTGGAATTGAATTGAAGAAAATGATGCGATAATAATGATGATCGGCGGAAACGTGTTTGCTCATTAATCGATTAATATTCGAATTTGTATTTTAAGTTTCTTTCCTCCACTACTTGTTTGTCTCTTTAGTTAAGAATTAATAAGAATTTTAAAGAAGTGACAAGGTGGAATTTCAGTAGTAAACCTACAAGAGAAATCGCATTCTGACTCTCGAATTCTGCGCTCCGTACGATCCATCTATTTCACAAATATCGAATAATCCAATATATCGATATATCGAAGCGAAATCCAACTTTCGAATCGCAAAATAATGTATATTCTCCGAGGAAAAAGACGAAGCCAAAGAGGCAAAGAGAAGGGTTTCAAGAGAAGCGAGCGAAAAAAGAAAAATGCGACGGAAAAAAGTAACGATCTCGGCCCATGAAAGTAATTCGAAGGCGGACACCGAGGCGTGCAAGCAGGCAGTCGGTCTCCATCTGGCGCGAACTTATCGCACGTACCCCTTTTCGCCGGGCTGCGTGATTCGAGGTTGAGCGCATGCGCTCGGCTACAACACGCGCCCTCCGATGAGCCTTCCGCACGGTTGAGCATTTCCACCATTCAGAATCGATGATGTCACGAAGCGGAGCCAGCATCCCCACCGTTCCATACAGAGGAGGGTGGTGGTGGCAACGTTGCCCTCCGCCCATTGGTCCAACGTACTCGACGTACCAACACGAATCGCCGGGTCGCGAGCACGACCCAACGAGAGTCCGCAAGTCGTTGCGTGCCAGTCCGTGCGTGTGCTTTACCTAATAATATTTCCACGGCCAGCAGTGCCCGCTAGTGCTCACCGCCGCTTCTCTCTCGTCTTTTCCCGGCTTCTTGGTCTCTCGCCCTTTCTCGTTCGCTCTTCATCTCTCTCTCTCTCTCTCTCTTTCTCTCTTTCTCTCTCTCTCTGTCTCATTTTCTATCTGTCTGTCTTTCTCTCTCTCTCTCTCTCTATCTCTCGCTTTCGTTTTATCCCGCTCTGTCGCTACTGTCTTTGTCTCGCTCACGACCGTTCTATAACCCCCGTGTGTGGAGGTTCGCACGGGGGTCTCTTCACAGAGAGAGAGCCAAGAAAGCAGAAGAATCACGCTGCAGAGCAGCACGTGTGCTGCGCTCGTACGGATCGTACGAGCCACCCCCGTATATTACATATTTCTGCGTGCACGTTCAGAGATCCAGGTTCCAGGTTGGATTTTGGTCGCGAACGATCAATTCCTCGCGATATATCGAAAAGGAGAGAGCACGGTCTCGATAATCGATATATATATATCTCGATTCGATATTCTTCGTCTTGGATCGAATCGATTCGATCTGTGGAGAAAAGTGCATATGGGGAACGCGATCTATTTGGAATCATCAACGATCGATAAATACGCGTAATATTCGGAAATAAGCTGAATATCGATCTCGCCGGTTAGAGAGATCGATCGATCGATCTTCGTACTATCTCGGTTTGTTTCGATTTGATCCGGTGTTGTTCGTTGAGAGGAAAAGTTGCGTGCGGGATTTTGTAACAGTGTTTGGGACACGTGAGAGTGGACTGTAGCAGTCTGAACATCACGCCGTCACGTGCTTTCGTGAAAATTGTACCAAAGTGCACCATCGTGTGACGATACCACGTTGCCTATTCCGGATTCATCGTGCTACTCTCTGAGAACGGTGATTGGGAGGACAGCGTCGGCCGACGGCAGCTTTTGGTACGTAATCACGTGACTTTGTTATTATTGAATTTATGTATTATTTAACAATTTTCCTGCGATTCTACGCGAAAAGATTGATTGATATTTACGTAATGTGTATTGATACAGTAAAAAGTTCGTTGGTAAAGGTCTTTTAAAAATCGAACGTGAAGTTCGATGATTAGGTTAGGTTTTATCATTTATGAATAATCGAGAATTTCGTAGAGTTCGTTGTATCATGTTCGTTGTTAATTATGTAATTTTTGCTTAAATTTTTTCGTTGGATTATCTTTTTGCGATTTGAGAAAGATGTTTTATAAATAATCTAATTTGGAACTTTTAAAAATACGAAGTATACGAAGAACGAACGTACGAAAAGTGTATCGATTATTTCAATGATACGTATTTTTTAATATTACTTCACTATTAGAGATCTAAGAAAAATATTAAAATATTTATCGATAAATTGCAATGTTTTTCACATCATATAATACTTTAATTGAACATTGAGAAAATCGAAAAAATTGACATCGAAATTTTTTGCGATTTTATTAGAGAAATACAAACAAACAAAATTTACATTAAAATCAGGATTCTCTTATGTTCATATTCAATAATCAGTTATCATAGAAAATTATTTGATTCAGATCATTAATGTTGAATCGAGAAATTATTAATTGATCGAGCAATAAAAACCCGAGTTAATTGCTTTATTACTCTTGAGAAGTAGGTATTAATTCAGTTGATTGAATTTTCAACCTTATTCAAAAGTAACTAATGAGAGGAAATCTTCTTCTACTTAGGTTAACACGATTTTGCAATAATTTACTTTTGAAACAGATTATTGATTCTCGATATAAAATACTTTTTTTTTTAAATAATAAAAATAAATATTTCTTCAATTAGAATATATATATATATATATATTTTTTGACGATTAAATATTCTACGTATAAAAAATCATATCTTTAAAAATATATCATTAATTAATTCATGCGAAACAGCTTCGTTGCTAAACGATTTTCTCTCTCTCTCTCTCTCTCTCGTTATATCACTCTTCAATAATATTACGATATCAAAACAATATTCGATACGTTTAAAATAATTAAAAATCCACACGATCCGATTTTTTTTTCACAAACAAAAATTCAATCGTTGAAACGACGTTTAATTCAATGTAGTATACAAATCCATTCCCTAACACGTTAATCCGAATCCGGTATTATGCGAAAAGAAAAACCGTCTCTTCTTTCCAGATTATCCATTTTATCATTCGTTTTCATCGTTTAAACGATGTCTCTCGTTCGCATCAAAAGCGGCATGTTCTCCTGCGTAATCGGTTTTCGAGAAACGTGACTCTCTCTCTCTCTCTCTCTCTCTCTCTCTCTCTCTTTCTCTCTGTCTCTCTCTCTGGTGTAACACGCGTTTCCGCTAAATACTCACCCCTTGGCGCGTCGCCGAAAGGAGGAAGCAACCCTCGCGCTTGTCTTGCCGCTTAATAGTCAGTATCAGCGGTGAACGCGAGTACGCGGTGCGTGTGCGAGGATGCAGATTGCATACACGTAGCGTATAATACAGCTTAAGGCACAATACGCCCTCTATGGGCGCGCTATATCAGGGATAAATGTGATTGAACGGTACGTTGGGCCCTGCTGTCTCTGTTCCGTGTTTCTCCCGCTTTTCAACGAAGCGCGCATCCCTTTCCCAGTGGTTCCACTCCAGGCTGGGTGAGATTTTTCTCTTTTGTTTAATCCGACGAAAAAAAATTGTTTAAAAATCTACTAAAATCTACTAAAAGGTATATTAATAATTAATGGACATTTAATAAGATGGATGCAGATCTTTCGTTTAATCTGTCGAAAAAATTGTTTAAAAGTCCGTATACGAATATTTAACGGATGAGATTTTCTTAGTCTGAGAAATTAATATTTGTGAATTTAACATTTAACTTCTTGGCTTGTAACGATGTCTCTGTTTATTATGCTTAATTGGAGATTATCATTATTATCAATTTTGAAAGCTAAAAAAATTTTTAATATCCTCTTTGCAAATTTTATTTTAACAAAGTTTTATTACGTAATCAATTCAGTAGGTATTTCTTTATCAAATACGCTTTTCTTTATCAAATACGTTAATAATAAAAAATATTTCCCATTTATAATGAAAGAGAAATTTCTCCCTTTTCGAATAAAAATAATTTATCCCGTGACAAATCCTTTCCTAGTTTCTCGACATTACATCTAGTTATACACCCGGAATATCTGTCTGCCTGGCATATCCCCGGTTTCCCCGTTTCTCTTTCATCGCATCGCTGGCACACTATTATGGTGTAATTAGGCAATAGACTACACGACTCGGCCGTGTAAAGCTCGTGAAGCGAAACGGGCTCCCGTATATTCCGCGGTGAATGCCTCGAATGTACAAGTGTTGGACACCCCGCGGTGACATTCGACGCACACATTGTGCGATCTCTGCCTCTTTCCCCGAGTCGAGGGTTCGTTGTTCGCTCGCGCAGCCTTTCCTGCCTGCGGCCCGCTCCGTTTCGACGCTTAAAAATTGTTTTCCACGCCCGTCCTTACGAGGCCTCTTAGTCGGAGATCGATCGCGTAGATGGAGAGCCGATCGAGCTCAGTCTCGAAAACTGGATTCTACGACCCCTTATACCCCATCTGTCCCGAACAATCGGATTGGATTCGGTTGCCGCGGCAAAGAATCGGCAAATTGGCGTAAGTAGTTTGGTAATTTGATCAGATGTGATCACGATTGATTCAATTAGGGTAATAATTCAGGAAATAATTTCAAGGAAGTAATTTCAAATTGTGCACATTACAAAGTACGTTGAATAAAAATATATTTGTGAAAATTATTATGTTAATTGTTTCGTGTCGGGTTTCTTCGAACAGGATTAAATTAAATGGAAACAGAATTTGGGTGAAATTTTACGAAGATAATGCAGATGACGAAACGTATAATTCGTCATCAAACACGATTCGTAGGCGAAAACGTTGTAAAAACATATGTAAGTAGAGATTTTCCTCCTGGAAGAGCGGAATTGCATTAAAGCAAATCGTTTTACACGCCTCGAGTGGCTTCCATAAGATCTATAATCGTTTAACGGCCAGTTAACTATACATATTATTAACGTGTCGTTAAGCAGCTGTGGATATCGTGTAAATGATATACATATGTATGTGCATTAACGTTGATCAATGGACCGTTCTACCGATTTATTTTATATATAAAAACTGCCATCACAGGAAAATAAATTATCCTAAATTCGTTAAATTTTTCCTACTTATCCTCACTTATTCTTATCTTCTTTCTTACACGACGAGACTTTACACACAAGTGAAGTATGAAATGTGAAAAATTTTGCTTTAAAACTCCTTCCCTTTTCTCTAAATTTCTATCGTTCTCGCGTATATAATTTATCGTAAAAGTAGGACAAACGAAGAAGGATAATAATTTATCCTAATTTAATCTTTTAAAGTTCCGTTGTTGATAAAATAATTTTACACGTACGAAATATCCCCTAGGAACGTTATTTCTCTTTCCTTAATAAATGAATTTCCTTAATAAATGGAATAAATGATAAAATTTTGAAATAAAAGTATTGCGGGGCAAATTGCAAGGGGAAAGAAATTTAACAAAATTAAACAAATCACGGATACAGAGTTTCTCTACGAGATAATGGAAAACAGATTCGTCGATATCTGTGGAAGAGACATTTTTCTTTTTTTTTTTTTGAAAAAAAATTCACACACCTGCCGTATCTCTCACGCGAAATAGTCCGAAATAGCTTTTAAACCGCGATATTAAAAAAACAAAGGAGGAGCGAGGATATATAATCGCGTTAAATTCGGATAAATTCACAATTTCGCCACCCTTCCCCGCCGCTAGTATTATTAATTAATGCGCGTAAGCGGGACAGAATGGCGGCAGGAAGTCAGAGCGCGTAGCGAGCAGTTAATTCCTGCGGGTGTATTACACGGGGGTGGATTCGAGAGTGGTGCGTGGAGCGGCGCTGGTTTGCCGGTGGTGATGCTGCACGCCATTAACAGCGTTTCGCCGGAAATGTAAAGCATAATGGGCCGCCGCCGCTAGCTTTCGCGGATACGAGACCTGTTACGAGATCCGCCCGTATGCGACACCGACCCCCGTTGTTTCTCTCGTTGTTTCAAAAAGTCGAGGCCCTCCTCCTCCAAGATTTTCGAATTTTTCCAATTTGTTTCTTTTCAAATTTTTTTCTCCTCGAAATATGTATTCGACAGCTTACAGTTACTCGATGAAATTATTGTGGATTACGCTGTTGTTATTGGTTGTGAAATTTCTCGTTGTTTCAAGAAGTCGAGGCTCTTTTTCTCCAAGATTTTCGAATTTTTCCAATTTGTTTCTTTTCAAATTTTTTTCTCCTCGAAATATGTATTCGACAGCTTACAGTTACTCGATAAAATTATTATGTGGACAATTATTATTATTAGTTGTGAAATCTCTCGTTGTTTCAAAAAGTCGAGATCCTCCTCCTCCAAGATTTTTGAATTTTTTCAATCCTTTTCTTTTCAATTTTTTTCTCCTCGAAATATATATTATGATAGCTTACAATTACTCGATTGAATTATTGTGGACAATTATTATTATTGGTTGTGAAATCTCTCGTTGTTTCAAAAAGTCGAGGCCCTCCTCCTCCAAGATTTTTGAATTTTTCCAATTTGTTTCTTTTCAAATTTTTTTCTCCTCGAAATATGTATTCGACAGCTTACAATTACTCGATAAAATTATTGTGGATTACGCTATTATTATTGGTTGTGAAATCTCTCGTTTTTTCAAGAAGTCGAGATCCTCCTCCTCCAAGATTTTTGAATTTTTTCAATCCTTTTCTTTTCAATTTTTTTCTCCTCGAAATATATATTATGATAGCTTACAATTACTCGATTGAATTATTGTGGACAATTATTATTATTGGTTGTGAAATCTCTCGTTGTTTCAAAAAGTCCTCCTCCTCCAAGATTTTCGAATTTTTCCAACCCTTTTCTTTTCGATTTTTTTCTCCTCGAAATATGTATTGGATAGCTTACAGTTACTCGATAAAATTATTGTGGATTATTATTGGTTATGAAATCTCTCGTTGTTTCAAAAAGTCGAGGCCCTCCTTCCAATCCGTTCTTTTTCAAATTTTTTTCTCCTCGAAATATGTATTCGACAGCTTACAATTACTCGATGAAATTATTGTGGACGATTACGCTATTGTTATTGCTTGTGAAAGTAATATAATTTATTTTAATTAGATATGGATGTAATAGTAATAATAATGTGTGTTGATAGTAGGATATCGAGACACGTAATGGAATGATTCGATTTGCGTGCGAAAGTAATAAGAGCAACATCTGTTAACAGATATAGAATAAATTGGTGCAATGCAAATCGAGGAATCGTAGTAGAGTGAGAATCGGAGGTCGGTAAATCGACAGACTTGGTGTCTTGTAAACAGAAGCACGATCTTGTTTGCGCTCAGTTGCGCATAATCCGAGGTAATCCTCTTGCGAATACCTTTCTCCTCTTTATCTCTCTTATTCTTCCCTTTTTTTTTTATTATAATCACAAAAATATCCTATTACAATCGATATCTATTATATACGAAACAGTGTACAAATATATTTATAATTTTATTCGATAACTCGGTTCAAAGAAAATACAATTCTAAACCCATCCTCCTCCTCCTTTGACGATTATCTTATTTATTTATCCATTCGACTACTCTATATTTTTTTTTCCCCCTTTTCTTTTTACTCTTTTTTCTTTTTTTTTTGCGAAATAAAACTACTTCATCTCTCTTTCCTCTTTCTATCCATGAATCTTTCGATCCATAGAATCATCGTCTGTTCGACGACTGCCGTTATTCACGTGACACAAGCGGCGGTTTAAAATCGTCAATTCACCTTGTAGCGGCCGCGATCGTTTCGAATAAAGGCCGCCATCGTCGGCGACGATGAACCGTGTTTCGCGTTTCATTTTTTTTTTTTTTTTTTTTTTTTTTTTTTTTTCACGCAACCCCGCCCCATTGAGACGCGAGACCACCCTCTGTCGCCCGTGTGCTCCGACAGCTCCGCTGAAAAATAACGATTTCAGGATTTATTGCGTCCTAATTAGTTCATTACTTCTCCCCCTCCTTTCCCTTCCTCCTCCTCCCCCCTCCCGTCTTTTCATCTCGTCGCGGCTCACAAAGCAACGCGTGTGCACGACAGACACTTTGCGCGTTTTCTTTTTTCTTTTTTTTTTCTTTTCTTCTTCTTCTTCTTTTTTTTTTTTTTTTTATTAACTTTACCTTTATCGCGGATTACATCCCCCTCCGCCCCTTTGAACGAAAACGAATCATTGTTCGCTCGACGAAGATTCTTCTCCTTTCGCCTCGTTCCCTCTTCTCGTTTCATTTATTCTCCAAAAGACACTTTGAACCGTATTATTCCATAAATCTCCATCCCCGAATTCTATCTCGTCCGAATGGAAAAATTTAAATTAAAAATTCGAAATGCTGATTAATATATTTTTGATAAAAAAATATATATTTTTTCTTCAGTATTTTCTTCAGAAGAATTAACAAATATTAATCAATAAAAGATTCTTTGAACCTTTCAAATTCTTCGAATGAAAAAATTTAAATTAAAAGTTCGAAATTGATTAATATATTTTTGGTAAAAATATATATATATATTTTCTTCAGTATTNCCAAAAGACACTTTGAACCGTATTATTCCATAAATCTCCATCCCCGAATTCTATCTCGTCGGAATGGAAATTTAAATTAAAAATTCGAAATGACTAATATATTTTTGATAAAAAATATATATTTTTTCTTCAGTATTTTCTTCAGAAGAATTAACAAATATTAATCAATAAAAGATTCTTTGAACCTTTCAAATTCTTCGAATGAAAAAGTTTAAATTAAAAATTCGAAATTGATTAATATATTTTTGGTAAAAATATATATATATATTTTCTTCAGTATTTTTTTCAGAAGAATTAACAAATATTAACCAATAAAAGATTCTTTGAACCTTTCAAATTCTTCGAATGAAAAAATTTAAATTAAAAATTCGAAATGGATTAATATATTTTTGGTAAAAATATATATATATATTTTCTTCAGTATTTTTTTCAGAAGAATTAACAAATATTAACCAATAAAAGATTCTTTGAACCTTTCAAATTCTTCGAATGAAAAAATTTAAATTAAAAATTCGAAATGCTGACTAATATATTTTTGATAAAAAAATATATATTTTTTCTTCAGTATTTTCTTTAGAAGAATTAACAAATGTCGACCAATAAAAAATCCTTCGAACCTTTCAAATTCTTCATCTGAATGAAAAAATTTAAATTAAAAATTCGAAATGCTGACTAATATATTTTTGAAAAAAAAATATATATTTTTTCTTCAGTATTTTCTTCAGAAGAATTAACAAATATTAACCAATAAAAGATTCTTTGAACCTTTCAAATTCTTCGAATGAAAAAATTTAAATTAAAAATTCGAAATTGATTAATATATTTTTGGTAAAAATATATATATATATTTTCTTCAGTATTTTTTTCAGAAGAATTAACAAATGTCGATAAAAGATTCTTTGAATCTTTCAAATTCTTCGTACGAATGAAAAAATTTAAATTAAAAATTCGAAATGCAGACTATGAATATATTTAGTTATAAAACAATATTGAGTAACGTATATCGTATTTGTACTATACAAATAATTGATAGCTCTAACAATAACAAGAATCGAATTTAAGGGATTAATTACAAAACAATTAAACTTGCATAATCCTTGAAAATAATAATCCTCACTGTATCACCAACATATTATAACATTTACTTATATTCCTCACCCTTCCGAAAGTATATATCGACACAAATAGCGCGACAATCAACAATCCCCTTATAATAATACTCGACAAGTATCTCTCCTCTATTCGAAATCCCACGAGACCTCGTCGAGTGAGGAGGGGGGGTGCGAACCTCCCCTCTTCACCCGCCTCCTTCGCGACAGATCAAGAAGAGGAAAGAAGCACACACAGCCTTCCTCTCCTCCTATCCTTCCTCGATTCTCGTTCGTTCGCTAATTATCTCTATCCCCCTCCCTCTCCTCTTTTCTTTTCTTTCTTTTTTTTAAATCCACGCTGACAAGTCTCCGCACGCTGCACCTAGCCATCAACGGGGAGGCGAGGAGGGTAATTACGAGCACTCGACGCGACGTCCTCGTGTGACGTTGCGAAAATAAGGGAATATATTTATATATACATAGATACACACGAGTATGAATATATATATATATATACATGTGTCTAAATTTAAAAAAAAAAAAAA